CCTGGTGCAATATGGTTCATGGGGTCACGAAGAGTCGGACATGACTTAACGACTAAACAACTTATCTTCTACAAGCTAAATGTACTCTGTCCCTTGAACCTTTTTCCGCAGGACTTGGTTTCCAGTCCCCTTACCATCTTAGTAGCCACCCCTCCTCTGATCTTGCTCTCCTATCTAGACTGTGGAGCCCCGAACTGGATACAATATAGATAGTCTTCACTTAACAACCACAACTAGGACCAGAATTTAGGTCGCTAAGCCATGCAGTTGTTAAGTGAGCCATCATGTGACCACTTCACTTGGCGACCACAGTCCTGACACTCCCGGCTGCCATCTTTAAGCAAGAATTGCAGGTCATTAGGAAAGGCAACTTCCTGTTGGCTTCCCACAATCAAGTAAGTGGGGAAGCAGGCAGGAACTTGCAAGCCCCAGGCACTGCCAGTGGGGGAGGGAGCGAGGGGGTACATGGGAGGGTTGGGGTATGTGGTGCAGATCAGGTGCCCAAGGACCTCAGAACTGCTTGGATTTTCAGCCCCAGAGTGGAGAGGCTTCTGAAGCCTCTCTACTCTGGAGCTGAAAATCCTCTGTGGCTGAAAATCCTGCTTGGATTTTGGCACGGGGTGTTTGCAGCCAGTGCCCAGAGTCAAGAGGACTCTCTTTCATCTCTGGGGGCTGGCTAAAAAAGCTCTGTGCTGAAATCCAAGCAGATTTCAGCATGGAACTTTTTCAGCCAGCCCCCAGATTCGAGAGGGAGTCCCTTCGGCAGATGGCAGTGGCTTGCCACCTTCCATGCCAGCTTCCCCATTGACTTTCTGGGGAAGCCAGTGGGGTAGATTGCAAATGGCAATCACATGATCACAGGGCCACATGATCACAGGGCACTTGGCAACCAGTCATAAGTGCAAACCGATTGCCAATGGCCCAGATCACGATCATGTGACCATGTGGGTGCTGCAATAACCGTAACTTTGGGCATGGGTTAAAAGTCCCTTCATTCAGCACTGTTGTAAATTCAAACAGTCATTGAACGAATGGTTGTTAAGCAAGGACTACCTGTATTCCAAGAAGGGTCAGCCCAAGACAAAATAGAATGGGACAATTACTTCCTGTGGTCTGTACTCCTTGCTCCTCTTAATGCATCTTAAAATAGCATTTACCTTGTTAGCAGCTGCATAACACCATTTGTTCATTTTCAGCTTGTGATCACACAGATCCCTTCTACATGTACTACTGCCAAGCCAGGTCTTCTCCACCTTATATTTGTGCCTTTAATTTTTTCCTCTCAGATACAGAACTTTACATTTTCCCCTGCTCAAGTTCATCCTATTCATTTTGGCTTGCTGTTCACATCTATCTAGAGGCCCATCTTTTTGAATCCTTTCTTTACCTTCTAAAGTGTTAGCCGCTCCTCACTGCTGATTGGAAACCCCTTATGGACTTTTTGTGTGAAACAGAAAAAAATGAGTTTATGACCTATGGTTTTGACAATCAGATAGAATAGATTATAAAAAGAAGAGAGTCACGATGTAAGTTTAGAGAAAGAGGTAGATCTACAATTGTACTTATAACTGCTGTAAAGACGATCAAAAGCCACTTCTTCTTTACATCATTTTTCTTCCTTTTTTATTTTTCTTCTACCTTTTTTCTTTTCTTTTCTTTTTTGCACTTTAGCTTTCTCTTTTATTTTTTCCTTTTATTTTTTACCTTCTTACTCTATTTTAGTTTATATTAATGTTTACTCTTGTTTTTTAATTTTTTAATAAAATTATATTTAAAAAATAATAAAGTGTTGGTCACTCCTTCTAGTTATGTGTCATCTGAAAATTTAGTAATTATCCCCTCAACCTGTTGATCTAGGTCATTAATAAAAATGCTGAATAGCACAGGGCCCAGGATACAGCTCTATGGCAGTTCATACAATACTGTTCTCCAAACTGATGTGAAGTCATTTATGAGTACTCTCTGGGTGCAGTCATTTAGCCAGTTAGGGTTTCATTACACAAATGACTCTATCAAATGCTTTGCTGAGGTCAAGGTACGCTCTTGTCCATGGCACTTCCCAGTCTATTAAACAAGTAACTATTTCAAAAAAGGAGATAAGGGTAATTTTGCATCACTTGTTTGGGACAAATGCATACTGGCTCTTGTTAATTGTTGCATTGTTAATCAAGTGTTCATAGTCTTATTCGCAGTTGGAGCAGGTTGTAAGCCCAGAAGAAAGAAAGAAAGAAAGAAAGAAAGAGAGAGAGAAAGAGAGAAAGAGAGAAAGAAAGAAAGAAGGAAAGAAGGAAAGAAGGAAAGAAGGAAAGAAAGAAAGAAAGAAAG